TGTGTGTGTGTGTGTGTGCGTGTGTGTGTGAGTCCGCGGTGTGTGCGGTCCCGGCCTCTGGCTTGTTTCCGGACGCCTGACTGAGGGGCCGGCTCCTGGTCTGTTTCAGTCCCCGGACAGTCCCCCTTCGTCCCACCTCTACCTCCAGTATCGAGTCATGGCTTTGAAACGAAGATGAATTTTAAAATAATTTAAACCCAAGCGGAAGGCGGGGTGCTGTGAGGGACCGGGAGTGAACGCCGCACCCGGTAGACGTTTCTTCCACGTGCTCTGTGGGCGGCTCCGGCTCCAGCTCCTCCGTGAACTCTCATGGGTCCTTTTCCCTGGAGGAACCGTGAGGCTTCTCGGGAGGGAACTGATGGGTCTGGTGCTGCCGTGGCTTAGCCACGCCGGGCTCCACTCGCCGGTGAGCGCTGGGCACCGGAACCGGGGACCGCAGTCCCCCTTCTCTGCTTTTAAAAATAATAATATATTATTGATCTCAGAGAGGAAGGGAGAGGGAGAGAGAAACATCCATGATGAGAGAGAGTCATGGACCGGCCGCCTCCTGCACGCCCCCCACTGGGGATCGAGCTCACACCCCGGGCCTGTGCCCTGACCGGGAATCGAACCCTGACCTCCTGGTTCTAGGTTGACACCCAACCACTGAGCCACACGGGCCGGGCTCTTTTCCTTTTATGGTTCATGCTTTTGATGCTTTAAACCCTCATTTCGATGGCAGGTTGTTACATTTCCCGTTACGCTGTGTCAGCTCAGGTGGAGGGCGTAGCAGTCAGACAGCCATAGACCAGGGCCGTTCCCTCCGGGCCTCCGCCCTCACCCCTCGGCCCGGCAGCTCCGGTCAGCTCCCAAACAGGCTTTTCGGCTCTTTGGGCCCAAAGGGGTCGCGGCAGAAGCTGGGGGTCAGAACCCGGAGTCCCCGACCCTGCGGGAGGGGCTCTGAGAGCCGCTGTCCCTTTGCTAGAACCTTCATGTGGCCCCAGCCTGTCAGAGCAGCTCAGACCAAGAGCCCCCCCCACCCCCCCTCCCCCCTGCACCTGGGAACTGCATTTATTTAGCAGAAACTGCATTCCTCATTTTTTTCTTTTTTTTTGGGGGGGAAGGGGAGTTAATCCTCACCCCAGGTTATTTTTTCATTGATTTTGAGAGAGAGTGGGAAGGACGGGGAGAGACAGAGAGAGACATCGATTGGTTGCCTCCTGATTGGTTGCCTCCCGTATGTGCCCTGACCTGGGCCGGGGATGGAGCCTGCAACTGAGGCACGTGCCCATGACTGGAATCGAACCCAGGACCCTTCAGTCCGTGGGCCAACGCTCTACCCACTGAGCAGGAGGCAGCGGCCAATGACTCTCTCCTCACTGATGTTTCTCTCTCCCTCTCCCTCTCTCTAGGAAATCAGTAAAAACATATTTTTTTTAAAAAAAGCTCTGCGCTCACTTTGCTGTTCTCGTGGCTCTTTCTGGCGCTGTCCTCGCAGCCGCCCTGCCCTCCGCGTGGCCTGTCACGGGGCGTATTTCCCCTCCCCCTTCGGAGCCCTGTGTCCCCACGGGGAGCGCTTTCCAGCAGACTCGCAGGGAGCAGGCAGTCAGCCCAGAAAGTCAACTCTGGTGGTGGCGCCACTTGTCCCTCAGGGCTACACGGGGCTACGCGTCACCAGCCACCAGCCCGAGACCCTCGGACTCCGCAGGGTTTCCCGGCGGCCGCGTGGAAGCGGGTCCCTGTCCCCCAGGGCCGGGCGGGGCCTGCCTCCTGCCGGGTCCTGGGAGGCACAACGCCCTGTCCTGGGCGACTCATGTCTGAGGCTGAGAGAAACGGGTTTCGGGGCCACGTTCTTGGGGCTGAGCTGGGTTTGCAGGGAGGCCTGATGGGAAGTGTGTCGGAGGAGCCAGGGCCCCCCACTGCCCCCCTTCTGCCCCGAGACCGCGTCCACGGTGACCGATTGCAGCCGCCGGGGTTCCGAACGCTCAGCGAGGCCTTAGCCCGGAGGGTTCCCCTTCCTGCTGCCTCCTGCCCTTCCTGCCTCGCGTCCACAGTTTTCTGACCCGGAGCGTCTGTCCGCCCTTCGCAGACTTTGGACTGAGCAACTGCGCGGGGATCCTGGGCCACTCGGACCCATTCAGCACGCAGTGCGGCAGCCCCGCCTACGCCGCGCCCGAGCTGCTGGCCAGGAAGAAGTACGGCCCCAAAATCGATGTCTGGTCCATGTGAGTCCCAGCTCGGAGCGGGCGCCCCTCCCTTCGGGATCCACGCCTGAGCGATGAGAGTGTTTGGGGTAGAGCAGTGGTTCTCAACCTCCTGGCCCTTTAAATACAGCTCCTCATGTTGTGACCCAACCATAAAATTATTGTCGTTGCTACTTCATCACTGTCATGTTGCTACTGTTATGAATCGTCATGTAAACATCTGACCTGCAGGATGGTCTTAGGCGACCCCTGTGAAAGGGTCGTTCGACCGCCAAAGGGGTCGCGACCCACGGGTTGAGAACTGCCTGGGTAGAGGCTCTGGGACAGGTGTCTAGTGATTCTTTTTTTAAAAAAAATATGTTTTTATTGATTTCCGAGAGGAAAAGAGAGGGAGAGAGAGAGAAACATCAATGAGAGAGAGTCATGGATCAGCTGCCTCCTGCACGCCTGCCCCTGGGGATGGAGCCCGCAACCCGGGCCTGTGCCCTGATGGAGAATCAAACCGTGACCTCCTGGTTCTTAGGTCGATGCTCGACCACTGAGCCACCCGGCCGGGCTTTAGGGCAACTCTTAGAGGCGCAGACACCTCTGTGCCGCCCTCCAGTGCTCGACCCGCAGCTGCACTCTCGCCCCTGCCTCTCACCCAGCTGCTTCTGTGTGATGCTGAGGTTCTAGAAGGTTCTGGGAAGGGACAGAACAGGAAGGTGGCCCCAGCTCTGCCCTCCGGGCCTCACTCTGCTCTCGCTCCGGCTCTCTCTCAGAGGCGTGAACATGTACGCCATGCTGACCGGGACCCTGCCCTTCACCGTGGAGCCCTTCAGCCTGAGGGCTTTGTACCAGAAGATGGTGGACAAGGAGATGAACCCGCTGCCCACCCAGCTCTCCACAGGTAAGGCGCCTGCTGCCCCTCGAGGCCTCCAGGGCGGGCGCGGGGTCGGTTTTGCGAGGGGTGAGGGCCGCCGTGGCCCGAGGCCTCCCCCCAGAGCTGGGACTAGTCTCCAGCGCTTGGTCTCCCGGCTCCGAACGGCCACGCGGTCTCCTCTCCTCCTCTGTCCCTTCCCATCAGAATTCCCGACAAACTCCTTCCTTCCCCTCACGCACGGGAAAGGCTCCTAGAGGCTCCGCTGCGGAAATAATTGCGGGCTTGATTGCTGTCAAGCCCACCCTGTGACGTCTTGCCTCAGAAAAGAGCGTTTCAATCACGTCCTATTGTGTCTTCCTCCCGCTCACGGGGAGGAAACGCTGGTTGGGTTCGAGGTTGGCCTGTGGCTTGTTTTGCTGTCTGAGTGTCTGCGCCTCTGAGAGTCTGAGCGGGACAAAGGCTTTTAAGTGCACAGACTCCGTGCTCGATGAGCCGGAGCGTCCGGTGCTTGGCAGTAGAGGCCCCCACGCCCGCGGTTCACGTTTCAGCAAACAGTTCGCATCAGGGCTTGGTTTCACATCCAGTAAATTATCCGGTTTATTCCTTTGTGTGGATGACAGTTCACGTTCCCGGTCTCAGGTCGGTGTTGACAGCATCGAACTGGCTCCTCAGAATAAACTCAGCTTTTTCAGTCACAGGAGGTCGGGCATGTGGCTGAGAAAAAGTCACGATTCCACTTTAACTCATGAAAAGTGGTTAAAAGATGGCATTTCGTTTGACGATTGTTGTGTGTCTGTCCTTGAGTTTATAAGCATCCACGAAGCTGACCCTGAATTTGTTTGCAAAATGGAATCCCAGCAGGAAAGCATTCTGGTCTGGAATGACCTGGTTTGTCCCCACGTGCACCTTCGCCAGGGAGGCGGGGGCTGGGGAGG